GAGAGAGAGAGAGTGCCGTCGTGGAGAGCCACGTCGTCTCTATCCGAGTTGTGCGTCTCTACCTTGTCTTACACCGTCACGGTCTTCTTCTTTCTCGCGTCTGCCCGTCCCTTCTTTCGTTGGGCCACCCCGAATTTCGGAGACGACGATCATGACGGGTACCACGATCGTGCCGATCCTACTGTTGGCGGTGATCCGTAAGTTCAATTTGAAACGCAGCCGCTTTGTCATACGTTGTTTAAAAAAGTGGATTTGAAATATCATACGTAACGTTCTCGTAACAAATATTGTGCGATAAATATTGTGCCTTATCTCGCATCCTGCTCCGAAAATATTACGTCCTATCTCGCATCCTGCCGAACGGACTTCTGTAGTTGCAAAGATTGCACGCGGTCGCTTTTGTTACAGGACATGGTTTCTTGGAGTCAGATTTATTGAATGGCATGGATTGAATGACATTAGTGTTATTTCGTTAAAAATATTAGAAAAATTTTCGCGCGATATGTTATTAAATAAAGCTAGCGCTGTTCACATTACTCCAGCAACGGAAAAATTGTTTCGTGCGTCATTCCGATAATAAGAAATTGCGGGATGAATGTTGCTTCGCACCAAGAATATCGGATATACTTCTCATTCGGTGACGATGTATATAACGCACACCTAGCTTGTTGACAGTTCGTTGATGTTCGGACATCAACGGCCGTTATGTTCAGGCGCGGGAACATAAATCACCATGCAAGAATCACTAACGCTCTCGGTCATTCGCAAGGCAGTTCGAAAGCGGAGCGGACGTTGTGTATCGATCCTATTTTAAAGCCGCATCCCGCACGACGATTACGAGTCTGACGCTTAGCAGATCGTGAAATCGAGAGATCTGGAGTATCTTTCTCGATCGCGCCATCCATCCAAAGTAAACCAAGTGGCCTCGCTTGCCTCGGCGCATCGAAAAACCAAACGCTCCTCTAATAGACGTATCGATTTTCTTTTTCTGTCGCGCCACTTCCCCCTCGGCTGTCCATCGGGCGAAGAGCTTCTCCGAGTGTTAAGTCGTGTGAGTAAAGTTTACGTTGGACGTAACGGATGGAGTCTTCAAAGCCTTCGAAGCTCGGCGACGTAGCCTCGCATTTATAGAATTCAATTCTCGCGAGATGGAGATCGGAAATGAAGTACGAAAAGTTCTCCCGCGATGAAACAATGAACGCGACATTGGATCTCTGCCGATCTGGGCGAGCGAGATGGATCGTGACTTTACGATCAAATGAAACTTTTTATATATAGATCGCGTCGATTCAAATGTCCGCGGCGCGATTCGACGCCGCGACGAGCGAATGAATGATCCTCAATGAATGGTTCCGGAAAGTCATTCCTCCACGCGGGATGGAAAGTTTCGCGAGTTTAAATCAATTTGCGGGCATACAATGCCCCTAATTAGACGGGAGGAGCAGGGTGAGACGCGGAGTTTACGGAGCGCGATAACGAGGTCTGAAAATCCAGGATTGAAGCAACTTCACTTCACGCTGATTGTAATCAATTAAAGTTTCTTTTGCTCACACTTCGCCCGATACGCGACAACAAGTTTTCCCGACATGTTACTCCGGATTAACTCGATCGTCGCGTTAAGACTCGCTCGTGTTAGAGCAGCCAAGTCGAGACGAGTAGTTCGCAAGAATTCGAGGAGACGCGGTCTCAGGGTGGTGATATATAATAAATCTTCATCTCGATCCGTCCCCCCAATCGATCGCTAATAATAATCTCACGGTGACGCACGCCGGTCGGCGTATATATATGTCTGTGTGCTCCAGAGCCTTTAACGTCTTACATTAAATTAGCCCTTAATTTTTAGCCGCCGCTCGATTGCGCGACGGAGGTATATTAATTCCGGGATTCCGCAATATTTACCGTGCGCCACCGTCGCTTCTTCCGCCGTTTCTTCCCCTCTCTCCTACCTCTTCTCCATACGTAAGTAGGTCATAAGACCTACCGCACATTTTTCCAACTTCTTCGCCTTTGACGCGAAAATTTTTTCCCGGAAATTTTTATGGAAAAGTTTTTTATGGAAACAATGTAAAGAGCGAAACTGGCTCTTACAGCCAAACTATTAATATTATTTACTGCTTGAGAAAGAACAAGTATTTTTCAAATGCATTTTCCATTAGGAGAGAAGTGCAATTGCTATTCTCAAAGGCACTACGATCCGGTTATATCCCGCAATGTTGGAGCATGTTGCTTATAAAACGTCCGCAAAAATAGATTAACGCCGTGACCATGACGATGCCGGTGGCATGTAACTTACATACCGTGCAAAAATAGTACAAAAATAAACTGTTTTTAGCGCACCTTTGCCTGTCCACGCCCGCGGTTTATGTGGTAAGCGCACAGGGCGAAAGATATAAAAATAACAAAGTTGGTGTAATTTCCTCTCATCGAAATTTCGATCGCGGGCTCGAAGTTATCAGTGTTCCGATAATGAAAAACATACGTAACTGTATAAAGACCGAGGATGTACTTTTCTAAAATCAACGAAAAACGAATCATATTTTTCGCAAATGGTTTTTGTTATGAATAATGTAAGCAGATTTAAAATTAATCAGGTGGCTATAATTAGCTAAAATTAACATAATAAATTTTTAAATACACATTTGAAATTTACGATTTAGCAACTAGCACGATTCCACAACGTCGAAAAGATATTTGTTACGTGGGCAATTCCCGTTGTGGTCTACTGTATGTCGCAGTTACACGTAGATGTCTCAATGTCACACATAAATAATTCGCGAATAACATTATGATATATTACGTGCCGTATATACTAATACCAGATCATGTACGATTTATGATTCACGCTCTTGGATTTCGTAAAAAAAACCCGCTCAGTTGGCGAATTATATACGAATAGTAAGTGACGAATAGCAATTTCGAGGACAAATCTGCGCATTCATACTATTCACAAATCTCATATGAATAGAAAATACTGCAAATCCGAATTGCGAATAACACGAATCACGCAGTCTGGCGTTAGTTTAAACCATCGTGACGTGCGCTCTCGTATACGTCAACATAGAAACGGTAACGTTAAATGATCGCATATTACATTTCACTGTAACAGCAAAATATGTTAACTAATAGCGAAGCAAAACCGCTTTGATCATCGATTCGCGCGAACGTCCGCGGGAACGGCGGGAAGAAGTACAATGACTCGTCGTAAATAATTATATCAAGAAGCTGAACAACGAGAAAGAAGAAATAATTGTTGCGGCATTGGATCGCGATGTTATTACGCAGCATTTTATTGCGAAGCTGTTTCACAACGTGATGCTGAAACGCCTGAGCTCTTTACAAACTAATTATCGAGAAATATTTATCCGCGACAGAGCAGAATCATTTCAACGTCACATGACTGTGTCGCAATCATGCATTACAACATTAATTCGCCGTTTTTATCATCATTCCGACAAAAGGGACGCATATTGTATAAAGAGATACCACAGAGATACGATTTCCTTCTTATCTGAATCAAAGGAAAGAGTCATCTGAGTCATCATCGCAACGTCGCCGTTTGACATCACCTGACTGGAACTCGTTCGAAATAATATGGCTTACATGAGATGGAAAAAAATAACAACCTGATGATAAAAGCATGTTTACTCGTGATAAGCACAGCCGCTCATCGTTCGGTTGCACGCTGCAGCGCAAATGATACCACTTGCAGTTCTCCCTGCATCCGGCGAGCGTTGTCCGAGTTCGTTGTAAATTCGATCTATCTGAGATATAGATTGGAAATACTCCGGCTTCGCAAATGCGGTCGTTGACTCCAGAACGGGGGCGCAGTAACGCTTGCGAATCGATTATGTGAATCGCGATCTATGCTCGAGCGTAAACGATTGAGATCGGAGCAAAGTTCTCATTGCGTGAGAACCGACATGGCTTATTAGCTCTCGTTAAACGGGAAAATTTTTTTAATTTAGAAGGATGAAAAAGTTAAAAATCGCTTCATCGTACGAGGAAATGAAGCACGCTTGATGAAAAGCCAAAATGGGAACGTTCATTTTATAATCACATTTTTTTCACACATTAATTCATATCTGTATCTTAATTTCCATTCTCGATTTCCACATTCCAGCTTCAAGCCGTAGAATTACCTGAATCTATTATTACGCGTGTTTGACGTTTGAATCGATTAGATAATCATATCATTTATAATTAATTGATTTGTTCTAACAAGTCCTAAATGATGTTTAATATTATATACAGTATTAATATCGTCCACGTGTAAGCCGAGGTCAAATTCCAAAACTTCGTCAAATTTTTACGCTCACCGGAATCCATGATAAAAGCCTATTATAGCCTTCCATTACATTTTAATGCAAGGCCTACATAAAGAACATTGTAATACAATCGTTAGAAACATTCGAAGCTCTTCGAAGGATCATTCATTTTCGCAATCTATTTGTAAAATGAATTCATTTAGAGCATTGTTCATCTTATTCCGCAGTATTGAATACATTTTATTGTATAAATCGATAAAATGGTCCATTACAAATCACATATTCTACGTAAGTAGTCGACATCTGCTGATGTCGAAATGCCACCATCAATAATTCATTTCTGGCACCATCAATAATTTACGTGAAACTTGAGCGAGCGTTGAAATAATCAACTTAAAGAAATAGATATATCGCACTTTATCTAAAAATATTTCGACGGACACTCGCAGTTTAAACAGTTTGGAACAAGTGTGGCAGGTGGCACATCGTCGTGCAGTGTGCGTTATTTGTTTATCATCAGCCCGTCAATATCACATTTGTGTAGTGTCATGACGTGCATAAATCATTTCTTGATTCGCGCTGTTTGCGCCACGGGAATCGATAATCGCTACAATTCGTAATAACTTTTAACGCTCAGAATTTTATTCTTCGTCTGAGAAAACAATCAAATATTCAGTCACACGTTACCGTGATTATTAAAAATTTAAAATCTAAAATCTAAAAATCTAAAAATATGAAATTCAAATAACAAGTTAATAGAAAAAAAAGTTTTTTTTAAATTTTCACGTTGGACATTAGGAATTTCGAGACCGGAAAAGTTTTGAATTCCAATAAAAGTTAATCCACGACTTAATCTACATCTCTATGTAGAGTTAGGATTGATGTGAAACTCTGTTACGCAAATCCAAGATATCAAACTTCGTTCGAAGTTC